CGCCTTTTCTTTAGCCAAGAAGCCTGGACACCAACCATCGAAAATCACATTCTCCAGTGCATCATGGGAATGCATTGCACAATGAGCCAAGTTGCAAATGTCATGGCTCACCCATTGGGGAGGGTGGGTGGGTGATGATTTAGATTAAAAGATTAAATTGAAACACTAATAGTCTGTTAAAATAATTTCTCAGCAATAGCATGGTTTTTGTGGGTGCTTTTCTTTCTTTGCCTTAGTTAATGGCAGAGACTTCCACATATCCTACTTGAAGATGAAATCTTTTCAGGCTTGGAGGTCATTTTTTGCAGAATGAGGAAGAACAGGTCCCGCTCGGGGCTAGGTTTGGAAGTGTTCTCACGGACCATTCCACAAGCCTTGAAATCTGAGTGTTGAAACGTCTCCTGTGCAACAGGCATGATCTATATGGGAAGCTGCTGGCTGGCTTCTGTGCAGGCAGGGAATCCACCCTCAATCTGCTGGGAGGGACTGGAGTCACCATGCACAACTGCAGGACCCTGGGGAAAAATCAAAGTGAGGCCACACCAGACCCAGGGCAGTGCTCCAGGGAGGGAGACACTGAGCTGCAGAAAGAGCTAAACAGAGTCACACCAAAATCACAGTTCTTCCAAAGCAAGTACCTGCCTAAATCCCGAAGTACACTGATGAAGGGAAACATGGAAATGACCTGATATCACAGAACATAATCAGTCAAATGCCAGAGCCCTAGGTAATAGAAATCCTCTTCACCCATCATTTCACTGAGATCAAATAATTCTTCAGTAGTTGCCCTCCTGGGCACTTATTCCGGTTACCGGAAGAAGACTTGTCATCATTACTTCATTAGACAGTTGAAGAAAGCAGCCATGGCAAGAGCATTTCACCTTTATTTTTCCTTCACTATCCCCAAGTTTCAGTGGACAAAATGCCCAGCAGGCCAAGCAGACAAACATGACCAGCAAGGAATTTAGGGGCTGTGCACCTAGAATCCTTTATAGAGCATGTCCTGTAGAGGTCACGAGATTGTTACCTGGGTATTTGTGGTTTTAATTGTTACAGAAATGTTTGTGGTTTATGCACTTGCAAAATAACTGCTAAGGTTCACTTCTCTACACCAGCTTGCTTGTACCTACTCTAAAAGAATGCATGTTTTGCCTTTATAAACCTTGAGATACTTGAGTGTGGGGCTGCTCACTCCCAAGTTGAATTTGCACCAGTCTGTCCATCCAATAAACTCCAGCTTTTAAAGATAGTGTTCAGCATCACTGAGTTTGCCCAGCGGGTCAGTCCACCTCCACCTGACCCCATTTGTGTTTAAAACTTTGTGAAAGCCAGAGCTCCAGAACTGATTCCCCTGTCAAACTGCTGGAGTCAAATTGCAATTCTCTCAATCTCTGGCATCTTAGTGAAGTAGGGATGCTGGGTCTAACCTGTGCCATCATGGCCACAGTGGATAGGATACTGGGTTTAACTGGGGCCATCTTGACTTCCAGGTGAAGGAAGGGGAATTCCCAACCCCCAGGTGCTGGGCATGCCTGAATTGGGAGAGGAAGGGGTGGGGACTTGGATGATGTGTTACTGGACCTGTCAATTCCGTGCTCTGAACTTGGGAGAGACGAGTTTCCTGTGCCCTGTCCCCTGACGTGACACTATTTTAGGGCAGACAGCTCAGAAGCCTTTAAGCCAGGCCTCATGTGCTGTGTCCATATCCTGACTCTCCTCTGATCAACATGGCCTCCCACTTCAGGCCTCCATTGTGGTTCATATGGGTTGTTGGTATGGTGTTTTTACTCTTTATTTCTTCTCTGGTCTCCCGACTCAGTTTTCTAACAGTGTGAAGGTATTCACAGACTGCAAGTCTTTGTGACAGGAGTCTGCCTGCAGATGCCAACTTTTTAATGAAGACTCCCAATTTGGCCTCTCAAAATGTGGCTTCTCTGGATCTTGCCAAGTGGTTTTACTTCACAACATTAGTCCCTCCTCTTACCTGATCAAGGAACACATCCTGCCTCTGTCATTTCTTTCCAAAAAGATACTGGTAGGAAAGAAACTCATTTGATTAAGTCCTGCCTGTATCCTCATTGCAGACAGTGTCTTGTTATGAGTGTCGATGGATGCAAAATGTCCACAGGAGCTAAAATGACCTCCTAGTGTTTAAAGGGGAAAGCAATCAAATCACAAGAAAGACAAATTCTGACCAGTCTTTGATTCTGAAAATAATGGCTTTGTCCTGACAGTATTACACTCACCACTGCAATTATGTTTATTAAGATGGTGCCATCTAGACCCTTACCTACCAATGAACCATTCTTGAGTTACAGTTATTCAGGTCATACTTCATTTTTGATAGCGAGTCTAGGTGTAGGAGCAGAGAGTTCCTCAACTCCACATATTAGTTTGCTCATGAGAGGAATTGATTTGACTTAAGACCCTTTTCCTCTTGCAAAAGTATGTGAAAATACATAGCATATAAAGCCACCGGCTTTT